GGAGGACCCCAGGAGTCCGGTCTCCCCCCCCCCCAGCCAGGAATAGAACCCAGGAGTCTGCCCCCCCCCTTCCTCCCCTCTATCCGGGGCCTGTAAGCGCCCGCCCCCCAGTGCCCACCTGGCTGCTTCCCCACCACGTCCAGCACCTTGGCTTGGCTCTCGTCACCAACTGGCTGGAGGGGAGAAAGGTCGAAGGTCACGGAGGGAAGGTTCCATGTGTGATTGCTGGGGGGTAGGGGTGCAGCGTAGCCTCTGCTGCTCTGCTTTCTGCTCCATGCCCTGTGTCCCAGGCCCCATCCACTGCTCTGCTGCCTGCTCCCTGCCCTGACATAACCACTGTTCTGCTTTCTACTTCCCACCCTGCACCCCTATGTGCTGCTCTGCTTTCTGCTCCCTGCCTTGTGCCCCAATCTGCTGCTCTTTCTGTTTCCCGCCCTGTGCCCCCATGTACTGCTCTACTTTCCGCTCCCTGCCCTGGACCTATGGCTCTATCTGCTACTCTGCTTCCTGCTTCACTTGATGCCCATGTCACTTGCAACATGCGTGCCACCTGCCCCCACCTTACCACGTCAGGGTGAGTCTGGTTGGGCAGCCACAGTGCCTTCAGGTAGTAGCGCTTGTACAGCTGCAGCTCCTCCTGGTACAGGGCTTTCAGCTGCTGCCGAATCTCCCTCCCACGGCCCCGCAGCTCCTTATACGTGGGGATCTGGTCCAGGAACGGGGTGCGGGGGGGAACAGACAGACAAGGGAGGGTGGCTTTTACCCAAGGCTGCCAGGGATGAGTCAGGACTGCCGGGGTCCCATGCCATCAGCTGCTCTGCCTTTTGCTCCTTCCAGTCTCTCCCAGGGAGGGTGTCTTCTCCCCACCCGCCATGCCAGCACGAGGTGGGGAACAGAAGAAAGGCAGCTCTTACCGAGTCCAAGGTGCTCTGGTCATGAGTCTCCTGAGGGGAGCGAGAGAGACGCGAAGTTGGGGGGTGGGTAAGAGGGACCCGCAGTGGGGCCGGAGGGCTGGGGGGTGGAAATCAAGGGGGCCAGGAGCAAAACAGGCTGCCCCACAGCCTCTGCTCCAGCCAGGAGGCAGCTGGGAAACTGGGAGGTGACTCATGAAGTGGGGGGTGGAAATAACAGCCCTTGGGGGAGATACAGTTGGCAGGAGCTTACACACGGGCACTGCACCCTGGAAGGGAGGTTAGAAGCGTGTGAGCACACGCGGGTGCTGGAGGGATGGACATGGACATGGATCCAGGGATAAAACTTCTGTGATCCACTCGCAACTCTTAAGCCAGAGCCCAGGAGTGTGCACATGTGTGTGTGCACATGCGCACACATGTATGCATGAGTGTACTGGAAGGATGGAGAGACAGATCCAGGGATTAAACCCCTGCAATCTAGTTACAACTTGAGCCAAAGCCCCAGTGTGTGTGTGTGTGTGTGTGTGCGCGCGCGCGCACACATGTGCGTTCATACACACACACGTGCTGGAGGGAGGGGGATAGACATGGATCAAGGGATAAGATCCCTGTGATCCATTCACAACTCTTCAGCCACAGCCCAGGGGCGTGTGCATGTGCATGCACATGTGTGTGTGTGTGTGTGTGTGTACATACACTGCCCGGCAGGGGACACGTTCCCGAGGCAGCGAGGCCTGCTCCGAGCGGGTGCTGCAGCCCCGCAGCACAGCCCAGACTTCGCCTCCGCCCCCGGCAGCCCCTGCCTGGCGAAGCCCATCTCTCCAGGCCCGGGGTGCGCCCAGCTCTGGGGCGCGGCAGCCACGGAGCCGGGGAACTCACCGTCAGGGTCTTTACATCCAGGGTGACTCGGTTCCTCAGGGCTTCCAGGCCTCGGACAGCCTCCTGCAGTGCTGCAGCCCCGCAGCACAGCCCAGACTTCGCCTCCGCCCCCGGCAGCCCCTGCCTGGCGAAGCCCATCTCTCCAGGCCCGGGGTGCGCCCAGCTCTGGGGCGCGGCAGCCACGGAGCCGGGGAACTCACCGTCAGGGTCTTTACATCCAGGGTGACTCGGTTCCTCAGGGCTTCCAGGCCTCGGACAGCCTCCTGCAACGACTGCAGCTGCTCCCACGTGCTCAGC